AATACAAATTCAGTTTTTGTTTTGGTTAGTTTTTCGTTCTTTTCTTTCACTGATTTGACATCTCTCAATGACAAAGATATTATACAAATCTTTTTTCTCTCATCTTGATGGACATATTGTTAACATAATCGAATATTTTTTTGGTTTGATTTAATTAAAAAAACCTTGACGTTTTTCCCCACCAAACAACAAACAAAACAATATTTTTCGCTTGATAATCACATTGATTGACCTTTTTTGTTTTGATTATTGAATTATAATCAGAATATAATCAATGCTCATTAATCATGTTTTTTCTGTTTAAAGCATACAAATGTAAAAAACTTTATCACCAAAAAACAAACTCTGAAGATAGATATGGTGTAGGTGGGAGAAATATCCCAATATTCATTCAATTCGATTGAATATTCGCAAAACACACACATACACACTAATCAATCAATTCAAGTTCTCTCGCCACATTTCACATCTTTCTTGGTCTTTTGCATCCATTTTGATACAAACTTTTTTCTTTTCTTTCTTTTCTATGCTGACTCTGACTGTCTGTCTGTCTGTCGGTGATTTATTTCATTCATTCATTATATTCATTCAGACAAACGAAACAGAAAAGTTTCCGTACAGAAAGAAACATTTCCGAATAAAAAAAACAAAATTAGCTTTTAGTTTCTGGTAAAAAGATTCTAATTGTCAATGAATAATGGTGGTTGATGGAATCATCAATGAAGAAAACAAAACAAAAAACTTGAAAACTCCATATAAACAAACAAAGGGTTAAAATTTCAAACTTTCATTCATTCCTTGAAAAATTATCAAAAAGAATCGAAACAAAAACAAACAGCAAATATTTGAACGAAATGAATCTTAATTATATCATCAACATTTTACGTTACTTTACTTTGATTTTACTTTAATTTTTTCTTATTTCTTACCTCATTCATTCACACACACATTATCCATCTACAATGTTTTTCTTTCTTTGTTTTTTTAGCGGTGGGGGAAGGAGAGATATCCCAAGTGATTAATAAATCTATTCATCGAATCATTTTCGGGTGATGATGAAAAACATTTAAAAAACAAACAGAGAGTGAAACAAAAGTTCCAAAAAACGAAAACTGATAGCATTTGAAACTTTTGTTCGGCTTTTCCCAGATAAAAATCATTCATTGATTCGGATCGATTGTCGATCAGAAATCTTTAAATAATTTTTCTTTAAAGTTTTTTCCAGCTTTGGTCATTGATCTTGATTACAAAGATTATCACCAGTTTTACAAATCAAATTAAAAATTAATAAAGAATTTTTCTCTTCATCCAGGTTCTATACCAGAAATCGATCATTACAAACAACAATTACGATAGCCAAAAACGATTCTCTAAAAATTTTCCAATGTTGTAAAAGTGTAATTACACACATACAGCAATTGTTGTTGTTTCACATCGGTAATCGTTTTATATCGTTTCAATACGATGTCAACAACAAGGGATCCATTTATCAGCAACAATAACAACAACAAAACGGTCAATAACAACTCAATAAACGAATGAGAGATATCTTCTCAAATGGCTAACTAAACATTTTGATGATGATCATTTGTTTGGTTTTTAAATGTTTTGTCATTATATTTTGAGAATTATTTTCCACAAATACAAATCGAAACGTTGTTTGTTAATGGTTTTGGCCCAAAATTGAGTTCGAAATTACCCAAAATTATCATCATCTTCAGTGAATATTCAAATCATTATCGTTGTTTGTTGTATCCCGTATAATAATTAATCTTGTTTTCAAAATTAACATTAATGATGATGATAATGATGATTAAAGGTTAAAATTCTTTCTTTCTGTTCAGGGCAGATGAT